AAATAAAAAAGCTTAAAAAGAAAGTGGAAAAGAATAATAGAGAAGAAAATGATACAGAAAACATATAGAATAACCAATTTCAGGAATAAAAATTAGTACAGTAACTATTAAAATAACATAAATCACATTTCATGGGGAAAAAGAAGGAAGTCAGAAGGAACAAAGAGGAAGTTTGAGGCACTAATCATAGCAGAACCATGAAGAATATTACTCAGATACCTGACAAATAAAATGAACTTTTGGATGCTATCAAAGATATAACTGTCTTTGAATATAATCTAACTACACACCTGAGCAGAGTCTACATCTATGTTCTATAGGGAAGTGAACACATTTCTGACAACATAAAAAAGGAATTGCAACTGAAACAATAAATCAGCTACAGCAGGGGCCAGCAAACCTTATCTGTAAAGATTCTAGGCTTTGTAGTCCACACAGTCTCCATCACAACTCAACTCTGCTATTGTACTGCAAATGAGCCATAAGTAATACATAAATAAAAGTGTCGCTGTGTTCTAATATATATGTATTTCAATGTCACATACCACATCTTAGGAAATATTCTTTTTAAATCAATAATTTAAAAATGTAAAAACTATTCTTAGCTTACAGACCTTACAAAAAAAAAGTGGCAGATTCCTAAGTAGAATTATGACCTAGCAATCCACTCAAAGCTATATACCCGAAAGAAGTGAAAACAGGACATGTATTCAAACAAAAGACTGCACACAAATGTTCACAGGAGTGCTATTCACAACAGCAAAAAGTTGGAAATAACCCAAATATCAACCAATGAATGGACAAACAGAATGTGATATATACATATAACAGAATACTATTTAGCCAAAAAAAAAGGAATAAAGCACTGACATATGCTACAACATGGGTAAAGCTCAAAAACTTTATACTAAGTTAAGGAAGTCAGACATAAAAGGCCACATATTGTATGATTCCATTTCTATGAAATGTCCAGAATAAACAAACCCAGTGCCAAAAAACAGATTTGTGGTAGCCAGAGGCTGTAGGCTGAGGGGAATAGGGAGTGACTGCTTAATGGGTAGGGGGTTTCCATTTAGGGTGGTAAAAACCTTCTGGAACTAGATAGCAGTGATGGTTGCACAACATTGTGAATTTACTTAACGCTGCTATATGTACACTTTAAAACAGTTAAAATGGGGCCAGGTGCACTGGCTCACATCTGTAATCCTAGCATTTCGAAGCCTAGGACTGCTTGGGCTCAGGAGTTCGAGACCAGCCTGAGCAAGAGCGAGACCCCATCTCTACTAAAAATAGAAAAAATTGCGGGGCATGGTGGCACATGCCTGTAGTCCCAGCTACTCGGGAGGCTGAGGCAGGAGGATCGCTTGAGCCCAGGAGTTTGAGGTTGCAGTGAGCTAGGCTAACACCACTACATTCTAGCCCAGGAGACAGAGCGAGACCCTGTCTCAAAAAAAAAACAAAACCAAAAAACAAAAACAGTAAAAATGGTAAATTTTATGTTATGTGTATTTTATCACAATAAAAAATACCTGGGGCAATAGAAAAAAAAAAAATCAAACAGGTGGCAACTAGAATTGGCCCACAGGCTATATTTTACTAATCCCTAAACTAGACTTTCAAAAAGAAGCTCAACATACAAATGAAAGCTTAGTGTCAGGCATAGGCATAAAATCAAAGGAGAGATACCAATCACACTAGTAGTACCACACTGCCATCTATCAGCCAGTGGAGGAGCTACTGGAAACTTAAGTGGTTTTATGAAAATTTTTTATAAGACTTTTTATTTTTCAACATTCTGATTGTTTAACATGTGCTGAACATTATATGAAAAAAAGAGGGAGAAAAAGACGGTGATCTCCATATTCCATATGGCAAACAATTTAAGAATATTCAATAAATTATCATAGAATGATCTCATCATCTTCTTAGATGAAAATGAGTCAGCCAAGATAAAAGCTACATACCTAATGTGTCTTGTAAACAATTTCTAAATCTACAATTCAGCAACAAAGATAGAACAACAGCCGTAAAGCTGCCCCCAAGTGGGAAATCCCAGACAATTTCCTATTCCTTACAAAGCATAAACCTCCCATCTCCACGCTACCCCAGGCCCTTTAAACTGCATCAAACTGTTATGGAGACCCAAAATTAGAGAGATCATGTCAACAGCTCTTGATACATATTTCTTTCTTTTTTTTTTTTTTGAGACAGAGCCTTGCTCTGTTGCCCGGGCTACAGTGCCGTGGCGTCAGCCTAGTTCACAGCAACCTCAAACTCCTGGGCTCAAGCTATCCTCCTGCCTCAGCCTCCCAAGTAGCTGGGACTACAGGCATGCGCCACCATGCCCAGCTAATTTTTTTTCTATATATATTTGTAGTTGTTCAGCTAATTTCTTTCTATTTTTAGTAGAGATGGGGTCTCACTCTTGCTCAGGCTGGTCTCGAACTCCTGAGCTCAAACGATCTGCCTACCTCGGCCTCCCAGAGTGCTAGGATTACAGGCGTGAGCTACCGCGCCCGGCCTCTTGATACATATTTCATAAAATCCTCCTGACCATGCCCCTTTAGGGACAGAAGACATAATCACCTCATTTTCCACCCTTCTAAATTGCAAACAACATGATAAACCCTGCCCATTCTTTTTTATTAATACATCCCTACAACTTTCTATCACTAAACCCTCGTTTAAATCTTGTCTATGTCTTGCCCTACCTGAGACAACATACTTCCCTGCTCATCACTTCCTACCTCAAACTCAATTCTTTTTCTCACATTAGTTAACTTTCACATTATCTATTTTAAACATTATAAGCTGGACTAAGACCAAAGATCAGGCTTTATAGTAAAAAAAAAAAATGAATTATTTATGAATAGATTTGAAGGGAGCAAGCAACATCATAAATTACAGGATATATGTCCTGATGATATGATTTGTCAAAATCTATGTTAAACCTAACAAGGTAGACATGTTCTATCATGGCAGTTTGACCAGAAGCTGTCAATTCACATTGCTAAATGTAAAATATCATCTCTTATTGCTCCCATCAACAAATTTTATAGTGAATATATGCAAGCTATTTTGGAAACAATGGGAAAAATGTAAAACAATTATGAGTAAGTAAATTAGTAAAGCAGCAAAAGAAGAGTCAGAAAGCTTATTTTAAACAGCAACAGATTTTTTTGTTGGGTTGGTTTTTACCTTAAATTTAGGAACAAATCTTGTAAACTCCTGGTGCCAATTGTTAAGTGTAGAAGCAGGTGAAATTATTAAGAAAGGTCCCCAAATGTTCTCTCTCTGTAACAGAAAAACTGGGTCAGCCAACTGTAGAAAAACTGAAGATATTTAATATTAATTAATTAATAATTAATGACAAGGAGTTTAAGAATAGGAAACACATTATAACAAGAAAAATAGTGCCTAGTTCCCAAATCTTCACAGGAAATAGTAATATCCTATATTAATAATAACAACATAAGCTAGGATATAGCTTGAGAAAAAAATACCAAGCAATTACTACCCTTTCTGGCCTCTTATAGGTCCTAATTTATGTCATTCACAAAGCATTTATGACACACTTGCTTAAATGTATTGTTTTTTCTTATACTAGATCATAATAATTTTATCATTACTTGATATAGAGCTTTAGCTTTTTTCAGTGTTTTAATTTTCTTATTTAATTGTCACAACACTCACTTTACGCTCACTTTACAGAAGAAGAAACTAAGCCTCAGAGAGTTAAAGTGAACTGACTGGAAAAGAGATTAAGTGAATTGCCCAAGTTTATGTTGCAAGTAAGGACAGAGTTCAGATGTTAATCAAGGTCTTCTAACTACCGTGTCCTTGCCACTACACTAGTGGTAATCAATACTGAGTGGGAGGGAGTTTATCAAACCACACATGCTCAACATAGTCCTAGACCTCTTGAAAACCAAGAAGTTATACTATACCATCCCCTTGTAAAAAGCCTTGAGGGCAAGGATCAAATCCTACTGTCCTGGTATGCTACAGAATGTAGGGAGCACAGTGCTTTGTAAGTAGCTAATTCTCAATAGAAAATGACCCTAAATTCTGGAAAGAGAAAGATAGAAAAACTGCATCTACCTACCTCAGCCAGATGGGCCAGAAGGGCTATGCTCTGTACTGTTTTACCAAGGCCCATTTCATCTGCAAGAATGCCATTAATACCCTGAAAAATAAAATAAAATGCTCAACACCTCGTGTGTTTTATCACATAGGGTTCAACCTACTGCCAAAAGTAACTATCCAGGATAAGAGACTCGTTCAAACAAATGTGATTAGAAACCAGGCCCAGTGGCTAACACCTGTAATCCTAGCACTTTGGGAGGCTGAGGGAGGAGGACTGCCTGAGGCTAGGAGTTCTAGACCAGCCTGGGCAACATAGTAAAACACCATCTCTACAAAAAATTTAAAAATTAGCCAGGTGTGTTGGCACAAGCCTGTAGTCCTAGCTACTCAGGACGCTGAGGTAGTAGGATTGCTTGAGCCCAGGAGTTTGAGATTGCAATGAGCTATGATGACATTACTGCACTTTAGCCCGGGCAACAGAAGGAGACCCTGTCTCAAAAAAATAAAAAAAATAATAAATATTGTTTTTTAAAGGGCTGAAATATAAAACATTATCTTGTATTCATTTCACAATTACATTGAACTGATGACTTTAGGAAAACAATAAATGGAGAGAATTAGTAAGGTAGCAAAAGTCAGAAGGCTAAAATTCACCTGTTCATAGAGATTGGCCAACCAATTCATGCCTTTCAGCTGATAACCTTTCAATTTGCCATTAAAAATTGTGGGCTGTGGAATATCCTCACCAGCCCGGATAGATGGATTTGCTAGGCTATAACTTTCCCCAAACCCAGTGCCAGACTTGTTTGCGGCCCGTAGGGCAGCTGCTCGACTTTCTTTTGCATCTTCATCAAATGACCTTGTCTGGAAAATTTTAAAAAGTAGAAGAAAAATATAAGAGGAAAAAATATTAAATGCAAATAAAATTCACAATAACAATATATCTATCCTGTGCTAAGAAAAATAACTGGAACAAAATTTCTGACAAAATAATCTGATAACATAACGTAACATGATATACATAAAACATTATAATAAAGTATATTACTCATTATTTAATATAACAATTATATTAGGAATATAATGTTTTTGATGAACATCCACTATACCATATTATAACATTATTAGCTTCAAGGAATTTGTTAAAGATTTGACATAAAATTTGTTTGGTTAGGGATGGTTGGGGGAAGGTTGTTCTGTGCCTATCATCGACTTGGACCCTGTCAAAGTTAAATAGTCTCCTATGCAGAAAATTGCATTTTCTTTACTTAGTTCAACCTAACTGCAATTTCATTCTGATTTTATTAAACATCACTATATCATGAATAACACAGAGCAAGTTATCACTAAAGTGAAAGAAAATAATAACTTAGCAGTTTTTTCCAAGTATGATACAGCTCTCTCAATAAGCCAAGAGCATGGTGGTCTTTTTCACTAAATAACCACAATACATTTCATACTATATTACCCCTGATTAATCAAGAGAAAAAAAAATACACAAACTATTCTAACTTTAAATCAACACACTCCTAAAGCTTAGGCAAGTGAATGCCAGTTTTTCTGCCTTTCCTCAAGTATTGCTACTACTCTAAAGTAAACAGAAATGCAGCCCCCAGGACTCTATACACATGGTCACACACGTACACAAGCTGGCCAGTGCCTTTATCACAACTGAAAGTGTGACTAAGACTAAAGGAAGACCACCTAAGTAAAGGATTGTGAGGTATTTCCAGGGCCAATTACATGGTACCTTTTCATTTTTAAGACTTACCCGAGCTTGGTGAATATGGTAAGCATTTTCAGCATTCTTCAGGGCTTGGGCTTTGAAATGGTTACTATCTGAAAAGGAAAACTTGTAGATTATCACACTTCATCAATTAATCTCCTCCAAAGATGCAATTTACACGTGTGGACCACTAACTCCCTCATTCCACTTATCCCTAAGCTCACAGAAGGTGGGGGAAGAGAAAGGCTAAATTCTTAGAGATAAGGAGCTAGAAGTGCCATGGAGGCAGAGGGCTGCCATAGTCTCCAGTAGCCAAAGCTAGCTCACAAAAACCACCTGAGGTCCACTATCTCTCAGCCCTGGCATTTCTTCTATGACTTGATGCCAACTGGCAGGAAAAGCAAGACACTGAGGATTCAAATTTTCATTATGTTTATGCTCGGTGAAACTATTTAAACAGAAGACAGACAGACGTGTAACTCCCAGGATACTCTAAAACACTTCTGCTCTCTTTTATTTCTAGCTCAGCATGATCTGAATCACTATTCTCTGTGAAATTCCTTTCAAACTTCACCCCAATTCCTTCCTCCCCTTTCAGTCACGAAAACACCAAAACTGAACAGTTTCTTTCTCATGCCTGTGTAAGCAAGAATCTTGCTATACAAGAGATTATTTTTCTCTGCTCAAACATGTTCACTGAATTCAGATCAATACCTTTTATTTCTATGAACAAATCACAACAAATAAAATTTATTTCCAAATTTGCAAGATCACATAACCATACTCTTTCCTTTTTAAAAATTCTTTAATAAGTTATTTTATAGGCTTGTTTTATAGAAACACACACTTTCCTTACTCCAATACAATAAATCCCCCTTTTCTGATCAATATTACCAATGAAACAAGACAACACTTACAAGAATTAATAATGTATGTAATCCAATATTTGAAAAATCAGGGTACCCACTTCCTCTAACTCCTGACTCAGGACTCACCATAATCCTCCTGTGTGATGTTAACTACCACTCCTCCACCAATGTCAATTTGTCTCTGGGTAGAATTGTCTTCCAGTTTCCTTAGGATTTCTTCCTGGATACCATCATGACCGATGTCTCGTTTGCGACTCATGAAATGGGCATACAATTCTGTCTGGGTGATTAAGAAGTTGAGTTTTCGCTGTTGCCTCTTCGCCTAAAGGGGGAAAAAGTTGAAAATGAAAACAGAGACAAATCATCAATTATATTGAAGAGGTCAACAGAATCACCAAACGTTTATATAGTTTCCATACAATTTCTTTATAAATCCTTTACTTTTATAAAGGTAAAAATTGCTAATGAACAATTTTATTTTAGTAAAGTCAGTGGCACTAAAAGCAATGAATAACTTTCATTCATAGTATAATCATAACCTGCATTTTGCTCTCCTTTATACTAGGAATTTTTTCTCCATTACTGCCTCGTTATATTACTTTTATATGGTGGCACTGAGACAGCAACTAAATCCAAACAACATATTCTGTTTTATAACCTTGGTGGTAGATACATGTGTATAGCCTTATTATTTTTAAAAAGGTAAACATGTGGCCGGGCACGGTGGCTCACGCCTGTAATCCTAGCACTCTGGGAGGCTGAGGCGGATGGATCGCTCAAGGTCAGGAGTTCGAGACCAGCCTGAGCAAGAGCGAGA